CTTAAAAGAGAAAAAAGAAACCAGAATAAACTGGGAACATGAATGAGATTATTACTCACCAAAGCTATGATTAAAAACAACAACAAAAAAGACATTATTGCCCAGATATGGCCACAAATACTCGGAACATATTTGCCATTGTGCTCATAATCATAAAGTGTGTTAAACCATAAAGTATATTATACTCATTGAATTGAAAGATATATGTACAATTTGCACACATATTTTCTTTCTAGAAATGGCGACTTCTGCGGGACCTATAGTTCAAAACTTTCCAGACTATATACTCAATTTTTATATAAGAAATGATTCCCATGAGATGTATTACTTTGAACGTTATGAAACATCTCGGGATCCGTCCTCACCCTTCCTCTTCTACAACACCCTCTCTACTGCCCATCGACCTGTTGTGACAATGTATTGGTGGACGTTAGGCCGCACGAAATATGAGACACATAGTACACTGCAAGACATATTACTACAATCTACGCTCAAACCACATGTCGGCAGCCAGCACGATATGAACGCAAGTGAAACCTCACAAACACATTCCTGATACGGAAAATATATAGAAGGTACCGATACAGATAAATTAACAGGACTAATAATCCTCACGTTCAAGATACCAACATCCGAACAACCGGCACTATTATTCCTGAATAGCTTACGCCTAATGTAGAACAATACTTGAGAACTGTAATTTTGGGAAATGCCATTGGTGCGTACGAATGATATTCCCGAAATAGAATACACACCAAACACCGAAGATTTCGACGTGAAATTGTTTCAGGAAAAAACTAAACTTATTGTAGTATATAAAACCTACGGATAAATGCGTATATAAAAAAGAAACCAAGAAATAAGCGAAAGAATATCACTTGGGTAAAACAAGGAACGAGGGTGGAATCTCGAAAGGCATGAATATTAATTGCAACACAGAGCTAGGAGCAAGGCATCATGGATAACTGATTAGAGTTTATATTAAATTATTTACATGAAGAGACTGAAGTTGACATGGGAGGGGAAGGGGGATAAAATGGGAGAGAGAGGGAGAGGAGGGGAAAGCGGTATTAGATTAGCAGGGAACATCGATCACAATACATGCCAAATTTTCAGTATTTCAGTAGTATGTGTTAACAGCAGTGAGTCCATGACGTAGCCATTATTACTGCATTATTTGCGATTATAATTTAATCCCAGCACTGTTTCGCCCTTACCACGCCGTAGTCAGGAAAAGCATCTCAAGTTTAGATGCATAGCAGAAAACGGTCGGTAAAGCACACCCAAAAATCATTGAGCATCAAAAACACATAAATTGCTCTATCCCCTGCACAGTATTCGCTCACGAACACCAAATGATATTCGTGTAAAGTAAATGAAGCTTACATGTCAGTACAGCAACAACAACAAAAACATTATTACTTGTTATTACATATCCAATGCAGCAGAACACCGCTATCATGTATTGCTTTGACATAGTAACAAAGTAACTCTAATCGACTTAAAAATGATCAGAATATTAAATCACTACACATATCATCAACCGGGCAGTAATCACTGTGCCTGGTTGTGTCACTTCCCCGAGCAATCAGAAAATACACATACCGCTGGCAGCATTCGCTAAGCATGGTAGATGGAGCTAAAATGCTTGGTAGAATAAACAAAAGATAAATATACGAATTCAATCACAGTCATAATTAACCAGTCGCCACTGGAACAGGAAAACTTGAGAAAGTGAAATCTAAAAATACAAAAACAAATAAGACAACATATCAGTAGTTCCACTATTACTCAGACTGCCTTTTTCTCTATATTCCTGCCAGTGATTTGTTTGTAAAAAAAATCCTTTACAGATGTCTCGGAAAAACAAGAATCAAATAACCTTTAGCAAACATAATTTTCCCGGGAATGTAAAAGAATCATTATCAGACATTTTCCCAGGAGTAGTATAGAACAATCTGCACAACCAATAATGCTGCTGTGGAAACCTCTGATTACACGATTCATTATTATATGTAGCTATGAAAGTCAAGACACACAAAAAGTATCCCTAGATTGACTTAATCAACATAAATACTGTCCAGCATTACGTTTTCATGAAAAATAAATAAAATAAAATAATATTAAGGAAAACCCCTAAATCAGAAAGGAATAGCAAGTCGTGACGTTTCGGTTCTGGTTATACTAAAAAATATACTGAAAGTGTTTCTTCTGTTATAAAAATAAAAAATAAATAAATAAATAAATAAATAATATTCACACATTTCCATTTTAGTATTACAACATTAAAAGATGAAAGTGTTAGAGCAATTCAATAATTGTATCATATAACATTAACAGTTCAGTTGTCAGCGACTTAGAAGTCTTATAAATCAAAACCTCGTTGGCCTTTGGGTTCTGGTTAAAGAGGACACATGAATCGTATGACTACTTGTGTATGCCACTGAACATTCCTGACATATACAGGAGTGGCATCGCCGCACTCCTGCTTCTGCTCTCCCTCTTCCCGTCACCAATCTAAATCACAGGGTAACATAATAAAATTACGTTATTTGATACACTACGGTAACTTTGTTTATTTCATAATCCTCTCCATTTCATCAAATTGGTGATACTATGGTTGTATCTTACGGTGAAATTTTCAACCGTTCATTCGTGGATCACTGTCATTGTCCATGCTGCCGGTTCTACTTCTTTCTCTTCCATTTCTTCTGTAGACGACTTGATAAGTTCCACTAACTCTTCGTCTGTTTACACTTTCTTATGGTCTTTAGTTTGTTGAACTACCTCCTTCAGAATATCGGCAAATCCCTCTCCCTTTTTTCCACCACGCGACTGATTTTCCTAACCTGTCCATCCATATTTGGGAAGCTTTTGATTTTTTTATGACGTTGCTCCACATTTTTCCAACATGCATTTACCGTTTCAAGATTCAGTTCATCTCTCACGTCATATATAAAAGATATTGAATCAGCTGTAGTGAGATTTCCACTGCTGCATTAGGTCCGTCATATGGTCTGCACTGAATGCTAATCGAACGCGATCCTTGAAACATCGGGCGGGAGAGAGGTCGATTCACACATATCAGTGGCGTATCAGTGATGGTTCAATGGTTAGAGCACTGTAAACACACGTATATATGTGAATTTGAATATGTATGTATTGAAACACACACACACACACACATCTGTGTATGTGTGTGTGTGTAAATGTGTGTATTAATACATACATATTCAAATTCAAATATATACATGTGTGTACAGTGCTCACACACACACACACACACACACACACACACACACACACACACACACACACAAACACACATATATATATATATATATTTTTTATTATTATTATTATTATTATTTTTTAACAGCCATTCATTCCACTGCAGGACATAGGCCTCTCTCAATTCAGTATTGAGAGGTTATATGGCGGTGTCACCCTTGCCTGATTGAATGCCCTTCCTAATCAACCGCGGTTCGGCGCGTTAACACCTCTGACACGGCGGTGACTTCCCCTACGACACCTGCGTTTGACTTCTCAAGGCGATATGTCGTTTTCTCGGGCTTGAGTCAGCAGTCAGAGCGTAGGCATTTTTTACGACTGCCGCGACAGGGAATTGAACCCGTGACCACGAGGGTCGGATATATATATATTTATATATATATATGAATAGCTTTACATATATACATATAAATATTTTTATCTAAATATATCTATATCTATCTGTCTATCTTTCTATATACACACACACGTATTCACAAACACACTCATATGGTTCCTCTGTTGGCATATCAGACCTCAGGAGTGGAATTTGACATCGTCACCACATCATCTTTCTGAACAGCAAAGGTCCCTCACTCATTGATAGCTGTGCGATCACTGAGTGAAAAGGGTGGTCAGAGATAAGATATAAATATAGTAGAAACCTAAGTAATTATTTTTCTGCTCTGACAAGGAAAAATATCTCTTGTTTATTCGGTTGCACTGAATTTCCACTGGACTAAACAAATCTGTAAAACTACAGTTATCAGCTGAACCAACATATGTTTTAAACTGAAATCTACTGCTCTGCTGCACTAGGCACTGAGCGGGTGCTCCAACTTGCCCAAAGGAAAGGAGTCGCTTTACTTCTCCTTTGAGAATGGCCAGGATACATATAAATATAAGTAATATATGTCAGCATCATCATTACCATCAGCCCGTATCATTCCAATTCTGCATTAATGATTAGAGGGAAAGACAACAGCGTACCACCCACCTAGTGGCTAGATGTATCCTGTTAGGGGGGAGTAATTTCGTCGGGAAGTTAACATCAATCCCTTCTAGCATGGTCTTACTAATAGCATCACGGATGCCCGCTCACCACGTCAAGGTATTGAAATGAAGTTTTGAAATGGCCCCGCGCATTATTTCGCGCTTTTATGCAATATCTCAAGAGTAGAGGCAACGGTTTAACGTTCATGATATGTTCAGTGAAATGTAGCATTAACACCAGCATATATAGCCATATGGGACACAAGCCTCCTGATTGTCAGTGCCATGGGTGTCCCAATTATTATCAAAAAGCAATTTCCAGCAACTCGAAAACAGATGTATATTAGTGTCTTACATCAATCATAAACTTGTCAGTCAAAACCTGAGGAATGAACTATCGTGTTTTATATCTGCATGATTAAAATCACTATGCAAATATGCAGTTTATATTAATCGAGTGGTAATTATCCGTTATATAAACAAATAATAGTTAAACTTTGGTAAGCTCTGAAACCATTATTCACCTAAGCAAATAATTTTGAAAGAAAATCGATGAGTCTGGATTGTAGATGTTATAAACATGTGTGCGAGTGGGCATTGCCCGAAAGGCTAGTAAGCAAAGATGCATGTAATAGGTGTTTGTTTATCTGCCAACCTTTATATAAAATTGGTCAGGGATATTCCAAAAAGTTCTGTATAAGACCAAAATATTTCATTTGTTGTGCAGCTGATGTACG